CCCTAAACCCCTGGTTTGCCGACTATCCGAAACCTCGAAGCCCAGAGCACCTCGGCGTAGCGCCACAACCAGCGGCGGAAGAAAAGAATGCACGCCAGCAGGGGTAGCCTTGCTTCTGGGGCATTTCCGTTTAAAGGGAACTCCAGAAAGTTGGAATATGGTTTACTAAGGGTTCTATAAGAGTTCCTTTAAAGGGATCTATAAGGTTTCTATAAGGCTTCTATAATGGGGGGTTAGGGCTACTTAAAGGGTCATGGGACTTAGTAACTAGGGTTATAATCAAGATAACTATACTTATAACCCCAGTTAAGGTACTTATAACCCTACTTACTAAGTCCCATGATCCTCCAAGTAGAGCTCCGTTCCACTATGGGCTATTAGACCCTAAAGATCGCTATTCGGACCCTATTAAGGGTAGATTAAGGTACCCATAAGGTCTAATAGCCCATAGTGGTTTAGAGTTTAAGGGATACAGTAGAAGCCAGAAAGTTGGAATATCATTATGGTAACCCCTTGAAGGTACATTATAGGGGATCCTACCATTAATCCATATTCCGACTTTCTGGAGTTCCCTTTAGGGTATTTTAGGGTTCAGGGCTTGTTAGAAGCGCAGACAAAGTCGCACAGGGTTGCTTTGAGTGGTTGATCGTGTTTTGCATTGCAATAGGCGTGCCTGTATGTGATCCCTGTTTTAGAATCCGGTGCCCCTCCATACTCACTGTAGCAACTCTTCAGGTTTGAAGTTCTGGGGTGCTGCAAGGGATGTACTCGGTTTTACCGGGGCTCACGCGGGCTTTATGTGGCTTTGCATGCTAGGAAAGGGCTGCTGCTTCTGGACTTAGAGCTAACATCCCCGGGGTTTGGGTATCGATGCTTCTTGTCGGGGGGGGACCCTAAACCCTAAACCCTTAACCCTAAACCCTACAGAGGGGTGCGAAAGGAGCTCAGGCCTTCCGGGGTTTGGGACCGGTGGCCCTCAACAACATCTCACCCAGAGAGCCCAATACCCCTTAATTAAGGAAGAAAGCTTAAATCATAATATGAAGCCCTATATAATTTAAGCCATATTCCTTAATTAAGGGGTATTGGGCTCTCTGGGCACCTGCTATAGACAGGGCACAAAACCACCAGGCGCTCCTGGCCAAAGGAAAGCTTATGCTTGGAGATCTATAAGGGTACCTTTTAGGGGTTCCTTTAAGGGATCTATAGGGTTTTAGGGTTCGGGTTTAGGTTGATGATATAAATCCTGCATTATCTTAAGGACCCTAACTATGGGGATTGCGGCATATTCTTTATTAAGGTAATGCAGGATTTGCATCATCAACCGTAGCTCCGGTTCTAAATGGGTTACCTATACACATCTTGTAACTACTCAGAACACCATTAAGCTGCTTGTAACTTTGCTTACTTCGTCCCATGACCCTCCAACTGGGGCGTGGGTCTTCGGGTATCGTGGCCAACCCCCGCAAAGGCTGGCACCTGGATCGCAGCCCTACATCCGGAAGGGAATCATCATAGGGATCGTTAGGGGTGTAGGGGACCTTATTAGTCCTTATTATGGGCCTTAAGGCCCCCTACACCCTAAGGGTCCCTATGAAATCAGGGTTTGGCAAACGGAGTTCGGTAGGGGTTGGGGTTTAGGGTTTAGGGGTTAGGGTTTAGGGTTTGGGGGTTCGGGTGCCCTAACCTATTGGGGATCCGAAGCCCAAGTATCTTCAAGGCCCCTGGTGGTTTCCAACCACGTAAAAATCCAGGCCATACCCCAAACCCACAAACTCAAAGTAAGCCAGACAATGCCTGAAAGCCGTAACCCCCAAAACCCTAAACCCCTAAAGCCCTAAGCCCTAAACCCCTAAAGCCCTAAGCCCTAAACCCCTAAAGCCCTAAGCCCTACACCCCTAAAGCCCTAAGCCCTAAACCCCTAAAGCCCTAACCCCTAAACCCCTAAGCCCTAAACCCCCAAAACCCTAAACCCACAGGAACCGCTGGAGTCCTGAGACCCGGTGCCCAGAGTGCCAGCCAAGGGTTTCGAGTTGAGGGTTCAGGCTGTAAGGTTAGAGTTGCCGGTTTAGGGTTTAGGGTTTAGTTGGGGATTCAGGGTTTAGAGTTGAGGGTTTGGGGTGTAGTTTGTAGGGTCTGGGGTTTAAGGCTCTTCCAAACCGTCCTTGGTGGCGATCAAGGCGAAGCTGATCGTGGCAAGGACCACTGCCATGATGTTCAGAAGCCGCCACCAGAGGCGAATGCTGTTCCTGGGTTCGAGGTGGTCTATAAGCCCTAAACTCTTAAACCCAAATTGGTGATCCAACTACTATTGGGCCCTCAATGATGAGAAGACGGCTTTGGGATATGTAATAGTATTCTCATAATGGAGAACCCCGAGGAACAAAATTCACTACGGCAAATCCAAGGCTGAAACTAGTAGGTAGATGTGTGCGAGGGTTAGGGAGATGTAGAGCGGTGTGGGATTCAGGTCGTGGACCCAAAATGATTCTTAGGATCCCCCGACAAGACAGAAGGAATGCTCCTCAAGCAAACGGTTGCGGAGTCTCTGGGGAATCTCTGGGTTTTACAATCAAGAACTTTAAGAACGACTGCTTGGCTCAGGCTAGGCACAGCGTGTCCTCCACATGGACCTGGCGGCAGCCAAACTTTGAACCCCCAAGACGAAGCCTTAATGTAGGAATCTTGAGTGGGCTTGCTTTGTTGTGCGTCCCACTGTGTTGGGGACTTGACATGTAAGCGGGGTTGAGGGTGCAGGGATATGAGATTGCTCTGAGAGACTCGCAGGTCAGTGCGAAACGAAAAACAGCACCATAGTGATCAGGAGTGATCCTACTTCCTAGCAAGACGGGGAACGGGCAGACGCCTGCATTTCCTTTAGTTTCCTAGACTCTTGGATTTGTGGCAGAATCAAACTCCTGACTGCGGTTGATGCAGGATCTTGTGCATCAACAATATCCCCAACATGGTATGGAGCTGAAACCTATATCAGGCCCCAGCAAACCAATCTGATCAGTTTGGGGGGACCTCTTCCCACCTTTACCTTTACATGGACCCTAAACCCTAAACCCCCCGTTATTCTGATTCCGAGTTTAGGATCGGAGTTTACCCCGGCAAGCTGCAAAACGACTCATGTTTTGGACCCTCAACCCCCCCAGTCCCGTAAAGGCGCTTCACCACCCGTAAGCTCAACTCAAAGGGGAAAAGGAGGGACTCATTAACCCTAAACCCTACCCTACAATGGGCTATGATGGGTATAGCTATATTCCGGGTATATACCTACGGGTCCTTATTAAGGGTCCCTCCTTTTCCCCTTTGATCAAGGTTCAGAACTTTGAGCATTGCACTCCTCGGATCCTCCTAGGAGCTGTTTAGAGGCTAGAGTTCTCTACGGGTTGCTTTACCGGTTTGTTCGGGGGCTCTGGGCTCTCGAAGTACGTTTTTTTATGGGGCGTGGGTGAATCCCCAAATCAAGACACTAAACCCTAAACTCCAAACCCTGCAACCTAAACCCTGCACCCTACGGCCCTAAAGCGTGCCTCTACCAGAAGATCGGTTGAATCTTTTCCAGCGACTTCCTCCGTCAGACGCGACCGAAGGAATTCGGGTTGCAGATGTGGATTAGGGTTGGGGCTTAGTAAGCAATGCTACTGTAGCAAATTAACAGCATTGTAACCCCGATTCAGGTCCTTAGCCGCGTACATACAACTCTACAACATAGGTAGTTACTACGTCCCCCGACCCTCCCTTAAAGGGAACCCTCTTCAAATTATTCAGGCGCCTATACCCTGGGGTCTAGGGTTCCTAAATCCTAAACCCTGGGAAGGGCTCTTGAACCCAAAACCCTGGGTTTTAGGGTTTGGGGTTGTAGTTAAAGGTTCATGGGACTTAGTAACTAGGGTTATAATTAAGGTAACTATACTTATAATACCTTATAACCCCAGTTAAAAAACTTATAACCCTACTTACTAAGTCCCATGATCCTCCAAGTAGGCAAGGCATAGGAATCTCTATCATCCTCGAAGCTGACTCGAGCTTGAGGCTTTGAGACTTCGCTTCCGACGTGGGGCCTTTCCAGGTTGGCTGTCATGCTTAGGATTTCGGGCTGGGGGCTTAGAATGTTTACAGGGCTTGGGATAGAGGTTTAGGGTTAGGGCTTAGGGTTTAGACTGCATGTTTAGGACTTGAGATTTAAAATTTAGGGTTGTGGGTGGTTTCGCGGGTGCGTGAGAGGCAGCATTACACGATCTACAGGTGGACGCTTCATACAAACACGTTATAACACTCGCAACACGGCATAGGGTGGCCTAGTTAGCAGGACACCATTGGAGGTCACAAGGGCCTTCACTCCAGGTACGCCCTCAACCTCCTTTCAGCCTATGAAGCCTATTGAAACCAACCGCTGTAAGGACAACCTTCACACTACAAATGCCCTATACCCACGATAGACTCGAGAACCAGTGCCACTAGAGTCCAAAACCCTCAGCCCTACACCCTGAACCCTAAACCCTAAACCCTAAACCCTAAACTTCACGAAACCCTAAACTTCAAGAAACCCTAAACTTCACGAAACCCTACACCCTAAGCCTGCAACCCTAAACCCTACACCCTAAAACCCTGAACCCTAGACGATGCCCTGAACCCTAAACAGTTTGTGGTTGGGATAGGATCAAACATGTACATGTAATTCCTTGTAGGGTTTAAGATAAGTACCCATAAAAATCTGAAATGTTACCCAACTATGACAAAGTAAACCCTAAAACCCTCCCCTCCCACCGGTGCGGCGGATGGCCCAGGAGAAGGAGCCACTGGGAGCGGCGGAGCCTCGGTAGTTCAGGGTCTTACTGATGAAAGCCTTGAGTCTGCCAGCCTCTTGAAATTATGTGCATCAACCAGACCTTGATGGTCCAAGCTTTGCGAAGTGCTAGAAGACTGTAGCCAGTGTCAAGCACGGCAGGTCCTAGTATACAAAGCATTGCCATGATCGGCAGAAGCCAGCAATGTTCGTGCGCTTCGTTACCAATTCGTTTGCTTCCGCCATGTCGTATTCACATGCTGTTTCTGGTGCGTCAGAGAGTGCCTTGCTTCAGCAGGGTATGAGCCCAACGCTACCCGATGAGGATGGGGCTCCGAACTACGGGGCACTGTTCTCGGACCCACTGCGTGTGGATGATGAAGCGTCACTTTCGGCACCTACAGTGGCTTTGCCTAATGGGGTTCCCAATGTACCAGTAAGTGAAGTTCATGGTCAGGACCCTGTTGCCCCCAGCAGCACTGTGAATGATGGTGTGGAAGTACAGAGTGCGATGCGTCAGATTCCTGTCGATGGAACAGCATTGCACACGGAGCCGGCCTCACCGGTGGCTCCCCTAGCTGCACATACCGGAGTTTCTCTTCCGCTGTTCCCCGCCTTCCAGCCTTCGCCTCTGCCAGGGCAGTCACCAGTGGCTGCGCGAGAAGGAGGACTTCGACCAGGTTCGTGGTTTACCAGGTTGGGGGATTATATTCAGAAGAGAGTGGAGGTTACTTCGTGGTCTTCCCCTCCGGCGTCTACGACTAACCAAGCAAGTGTGTGGCATAATCGAAGTCAAGTTCAGACTATGATGGTTGCGTCTCCAGTTGTGGGAGAAAGGAGACCGGAATCGAACTCAAGCGGTTCCGCGGGAATTCCTCAAGAAATGGTTCAGGCTGAAGTAGCCCGACAACTGGACAGCGCGATGAGTGAAGTGATGAGTCGGCTGCAGGATGAGAGACTGAAGACGGAGCAGGCGACCTTGGAAGCTAGGCAGCTACGTGAGCAGCTTGAGAGATATGAGATGAGGGCCCAGTCAGGGCCGGTTGCCCCCCTTGGTCCTCCACCGGGGTTTCTTCCGCTGAGTTTGAGGGATCATGGAGCTTCTACCGGAGTCCCTGCGAATCATCCTCTACCTGGTCCTATGTCAGGGTCGACCGCGCATACGGCTCATGGTCGTCAGTGCTTTGGCGATGTGGAATATAAAGGCGAAGACGCTACAGTTGCAGGAGTTCCTAACCTACCTCGAGGTGATCGGGCTTTTGCAAGCATTGGTGATGTTGTCGCTGAAGGCTCTAACGTACCACGGGGAGATCGGGCCTTTGCGAATCTTGGGGATCGTGGTTCAGGAGTTTCTAACCTACCTCATGGTGATCGGGCGGCTGCAGCAGCTAGGGGTGTAGAACCCAATGTCTATGATCCTGGAGCTTCTACCGGAGTTCCGGCGAATCATCCTCTACCGGGTCCTTCTGAAGAATATGGAGCTAGGTCTCGTACCAGGTCTCAGTCGCCGGGTGGTCCGCGTGCCTTTTTCCAGGGTTTGTTCGGTCTGGGTACAACTGGTCGTGATGAAGGACAGCAGTTTGATCAAGGAGTCCAGATGGGATCGAGAACGATACCTACCACCTACATACCACCTCCACTTCAACCTCCACCTCCACTGCCACCTACAACAACAGGTGCAGCGGCGCCGGCTCGGGATGACAACGTCTTGGCGACCTTAGCCCGGGGCATAGAAGCGCTACTGCAGCAACAGCAACAAGGGCCTCGGCAAGATCGTCCAGAAACGGTTAAGCCTGCCTGGAATACCAGCCGTCAACGGGGTCGATAGACTTGCTTCACTGGTTGACGCATATAGCGCCGATGATGGAGGACTTGTCGGATACCAGTCTACTTTGGTGGCAGCAGACCGTCAAGGACGCCCTTACTTGGTATGCTCAGTACTCAGCTGCGCCACCGCTTGCACGATTACAACTTCGACCGCGACCCACCCATGATCTTCGTCCGGAGTGGGCTCGAGTTGAAAGACGGGCCACGGCAATGATGCTCAGCGCCGTTCCGAAGGCGATCCGCGAGGAGATAATCGCTCACGGGCAGATGTCGAGCTTGGATGTGCTATGCAAGCTGTACTCGGTGTATCAACCGGGTAATCTGCAGGAGAAGTCGTTGGTTCTACGGATGCTGGAGCAGCCTGAGGAGTGCACTACGGCCCTCCAAGCGGTGGAGGGGCTACGACGATGGAGCCTGTGGAGACGGAGAGCGGCTTCCTTGGGGATGGCAGAACCGGACGCGTCGGTTTTGGTCAGAGGACTGGACAAGATCACAGCTCCCATCATCCAGGGGAGCGGTGAGCTTTCGTTTCGAGTGAGCTTGATCAGGAGCACGCTGCAAGTGGATGTGAGTCCTTCTTCGTCTACGGTGACTACCTTTCACCAGCACCTCCAGGCTGAGATGGAGCAACAGGCCAGACTGGGAGTCGCAAAAGGAACCACGGATGTTTCCCCTGCGTTGCGTGCTGTTACCACCAATACCACAACCACCACAACGCCACAACCACCAACCACTACAACTCCATCTACCTCCCCTACTACCAAGCAGCAGGGTTCGTTGTGCCGATTCTTTGCGTCAGACAAGGGTTGTCGAAGGGGCAACGGATGTCGCTTCCCACATACGTGGGCCCTCTTGGAGAAGGGAAGTCGGCAGCGCAAGTGCTTGTGCTGTGGATCCACGCAGCATAAAGTCAAGGAGTGTCGAGCTCCAGGCGGCGGTCAGGCGAGGACTACAACCTCGCGTACGGAGGCGGCGGGCCCGGGGGAGACGGGGTCTACATCGCCTACGGCATCAGCGACGGATTCCGACGAGGAAGGTGAAGTTCGATGGCGAGCAGGTGCAGGCCAAGGTGTTTCAAGTTCTACAAGATGTGAAGAACATTCCACTGTTCAGGTCAGTGGTGGACACAGTGAGTCGCTGGGCCTGTCAACCTGTACCTCCTTCGCCTAGGGCGCGGTCTGCGCTGTTGGACTCAGGAGCGACTCATGTTCTACGTGCTCCTTCAGACAATCATGAATGGCTTCAGGCTAAGGACGTGAAGGTGAAGCTGGCTGGAGATGGTTATGCGGCCATGCGCCAAACCTCCGCGGGCACTATTCTCAATGAGGACCAGATGGCCCAGGTGATTGTGCCCCTCGGCAAGGTGATCTCCACCCTTGGATACAAACTACATTGGACCTCTGAGGAGTGCTACCTATACGCCGAGGACGGGGAGATTATCACCCTTGAAGTGGTTCGAGGATGCCCTGAGGTGAGCGAGGAGGTTGCCAAGAAGCTGATAACGCGGCTGGAACAGACCCAGCTTCCAGAACTCAAGGACGCCACTGAGGCGTCGGTCAAGGCGTTGAGCTTTGTGAAGTCCAGCTGGTGGGTTTGTCTCATGGAGTATGTTATGACGGGCAGCAGTGATGCTGCGAAAACAGCAATCAAGAAGGCCCCGTTCTTGTTGTACAAGGATGTGCTGGTGGAGGGCCTTGCTCTTCAAAGGCCAAGGAAGGGCATCTGGGAGATGCTCAAGGCCATCAATGTGAACAGGCGAACTCGAAAGCGCCTGATGAATTCCTCCTCGTGGGTGGTTCGTTGGGACCCTCCGGCAGTGGATCGTCCCCGGGATGCCTTGAAGCATCTGGGCATGGCCAAGGAGACCATGTACATCAACTTGAACACCTTGCTGATGGAGAATGAGTTCGAGGATGTTTGGAAGGTTGTGCTATGGGGAGCAATGGAAGGAAAAATCAGCACCGTTGTCGCTAAGGACAGTTTGGGAACTCCGATGAACCATGTGGTAGCCGCCCCTCACCGCAGTAAGGTGCATTATTTGCATGCACTGGCAACGGCAGGTCGAACTGCTCATGGTCAGGGTGCTGTGAGACTGCTGGTGGAGGACCTCGATCGAGTTCAGCGAGATCAGCGCGATGGTGTGGAAAGCATGTGGCCAGCATGGTCTATGTGCAAGGATGCCAAGGAGTACATGGCTGAGATGGGGATTGTTGATATCTCCATATCGGAGTTCACGGGCGAGAACTACGTGAGGGTCGCTCGTCTTGACGGTGACGCAGCTTGGCGACTGCACGTGATGCGGGGACATCAGCCTTTTCGTCGGGACTGCTCGGTGTGCGTTCGCAACAGCGCCACAGGCAAGCAGCACCGAACAACGATGCATCCAATGGCCTACACGTTAAGTGTGGACGTGGTGGGGCCGTTGAAGGAGTATGGCAAGTCACCAGACGGGGAGTTCTTCAAGTACTTCGTCATTGGCGCTCTAAGGATACCTAAGGTTGAAGGTGGTGATGGACATCCAGAAGTTCACGGGCATCCTATTCCTCCAGATGGTGTTGATGAAGACGAGGACGAGGAAATCCTGTCAGAGGAGGAGCGTGACGAGGAGGAGGCCGTTCCCGAGAGTGACTACTGTGACCCTGCGGAGATTGAGAAGGAGAACGAGCGGTGGAAGGAGCTGAAGGCCATGTTTAAGGAGCCCATTGCCACCACCACCTTGTACTTTGCGGTTCCGGTCAACAACAAGAAGGCTGCCACGATGCTGCCCGCCGTTCAAAAGATTGTCCTGGATGTGAAGGCTCTTGGCTACCCGATTACAAGGCTGCATAGTGATCGCGGCGGTGAGTTCAGAGGCCACTTGGTGCGGCGGTGGGCCCTTGCCCAAGGGATGTGGCCTACTACGACGTCGGGATCGGAGTCGGCATCTAATGGGGTTGCTGAAGCAGGAGTGCGATACTTAAAGCGCCGAGCTAGAGTACTACTGGATAGTTCAGGAGTGGGTCGACAGCACTGGCCTACGGCGTTCAACATGCGGCAGCTCAACAGCGTTGTGATCAACTTGGAGTTCTACCTGCACTTCCTGTGGCCTATGGTACCAAGGTGTATGTGAAGACCAAGAAGTACAAGACTGGTGCGGTTGAAGATTTTGGACCGCACTGGACTCGGGGACGGTATGTGGGACCGTCCACAGATATCCGAGGAGGCCATGTCATTTTGAAGGACACGGGAACTTTTGTGCAGACGACCCATGTGAGGATTACCAGGGAGCCACCCCCTTTGGACACCATTGCTCCGACTGTGGTTGTGGAGCCTGAAACCAGTCGTCCGGCCCCTGGAGTGGAAGAACCTCCTTTACCACCACCAGATGTCCCTCCTCCCGAAAGGAGGCTTCGAGTAAAGACTCCCCGAGCCGCGAAGCTCGACGAGCTTTATGAGCCTTGTGTTGAGCTGTTTGAGGCTACCCAGGGTATGAAAGGTTCGTTGGAGGAGGAGTGCGAGCTGAAGTATCTTCGGTTGGAGGAGATTGAGTACCTGGAAGGTGTCGCGCGTGGCTTGTGTCAGGACAGAGAGTTCTCTAAGAGTGATGGTCACAAGTTGCTGAGTTTGTTTGCGGGGACCTGCGGCAATCTGAAGGTTCCACGTGCTCCTGAAGGGCAAGGCTTGGTGCTGGGTGCCTTTGTTCATGGAGGGTCATTTGGAGTGACTCGGTATGGACGAGATCTACCATGGGTCATGAAGTATTTCAATATGTACCTCTATGAGAGGATAAAAGCTCGTTGGCCACATGTACGCCCTACTTGGACCACTTTAGCCCTTCAATGTGCAGAGACTATTCCCCGTCATCGAGATGTTCACAATGAGCGAGCTACGTTCAACTACGTTGTGGAGCTGAAGTCTGAGGATGAGGGAGGGCTGTGGGTTGAGGATAAGGGCCTCGAGCGCGGTGTTGTTGGAGGTGAGCGACTAGAAGATTTTCAGTACGAGGCTGAAGATGGTGCGGTGTTTGATGGCTGTGTGGTGGATATATCGGAGCAGCCAGCGGCCTTCAACCCCATGACGCCGCACGCCTACGTGATGATTGATCACCGACGGTGGTTTCTGAGTGCCTACACGCCGCAAAGGTTCTCTCGGTTGAGTCTTGGTGACCAACAATATCTACAACAAGCTAGGTTTCCTCTTTGTCAAGAAGATGAAGATTACCACGGAGAGCAGGAAAAAGGTCCTGCACTAAGGGCTGCTGACTTACCTTCCGGGACTACGTCGAGTGGATCTCATGTTGACCGGGGAGATGTGGAAGTGGCTACCGTGGGTAAATGTGAAGGAAGCTTCAGTGATTGGGCCATTTACGTCGAGGACTACGTCGAGGAGGAGCTGGAGCCAGGAGAGTGTGATCAAGTACGGTGTTTGAGGAGGATTGGTTCTTCTGATGATCCTGGTGATGAGCTTTGGTCCTTGATTGAGGCATCAGAGTTGTTGTCTGAGGAGGAGGTGGGCCCAGAGGTTGTTGAGAACTTCGGTGACAGGTTGGAGCATTGGAGCTCTATCGGAACTTTGGAAGTTCCACGACTTGCAAAGGTCGAACCCGAGTACACCCCAGGCATTGAGGAGATCATCAAGAATGCGGTCGAGCATCAAAGCCCGTTGCGCCACACCTACAACGTGAGCCCCCATGAGGCCAAGGAGGTGATCGAAAAATGGCGGTCCGCGATAACTAAGGAGGTGGGTGTCGTTGAGAAGGGATTCAAGAGGATCCGTGCTGAGGAGGTCGTCGAGTTAAAGAAGGAGTTCACTGTGCAGGAGCTCCCCTCCAAGCTGGTGTATACCGTGAAACCTCCGAGCACAACACCCACTACAACGGCAGGTCTTGGAGATGAAACTGCCTACTGTCGTCGAAAGGCCAGGGTGGTGTGCTGTGGCAACTTTGCTGACGAGGAGGGCTCCGACCTCTTCGCTGGAGGCATCGCCGCCGAGAGCATGAGATGCGTGTTAGTGTATACAGCAGACCAGGGCTGGATGGTTGGAATAGTCGATGTTACAGGAGCCTTTATGCTCACTCCGCTCCCGCAATCACAAGGGCAAGTTCGATATGTTATAAGGCCACCCGCTGCTTTAGTAGCCCTCGGTTTGGCAGACCGAAACGAAAGGTGGCTGTTGACGCATGGAATGTACGGCTTGCGCCAATCACCGAGGCTTTGGGCAGAGTACCGCGATACCGAGCTGAAGGGCATCACCGTCGAGTATGACAACAAGGTCTACGGGCTGAAGCAGGGTGTTGCAGAGCCAAACATGTGGTTGGTTTACGAAGTGGGAGCACCCCTAGATCGACCTCCGGAGGGCTTGATCCTGGTGTATGTTGATGATATTATGCTATGCGGACCAAGAGGTTTGGTGTGTGCTGTAGCGGCCAAAGTTTCTCAGTTATGGAAAACTTCGGAGTTGGAGCTGTTGACTGCGGAGCACGACCTACGGTTCCTTGGGTGCGAAATATCAACGGCATCAGATGAGAACGTCTTCTACCTCCACCAGCGGCCCTACATCGACGAGATACTACGTCGCCACGGGATAGCGGGGACTACATTGTCACAAGTGCAAGCACCACGCGACATGGTGACCTTTGAAGCGTTTGAAGGAGAAACCCCGGGCACCCCCGAGGAGATCAAAGCCGCGCAGCGGCTATGCGGCGAGCTTTTATGGTTGGCCCAGCGATCAAGGCCGGACATATGCTACGTTGTCAGTGCTATGGGTTCCTTGCTTTCCCGTGCGGCTGTTCGATGTGTTGCTATTGGCATGCGACTCTTAGCCTACTTGCAGCAGACCAAAAATATGGCCTTGACGATGAGGGCAACATCGGGCGAGCTTATCGCCTACTCGGACAGCTCCTTCGCCCCGCAGGGCAGCCGGAGCTTTACAGGAGTGGTGTTGAGCTGGAAGGGTTCACCCGTATCCTGGAGGGCGGCCAAACAGCCGTTCACATGCCTGAGCACAGCAGAATGCGAGTTGGTGGCGTCGATTGAAGCTTTGACTATGGCAAAGTCTTTGGAGGCGATTGTCAATCAGATAGAGCCACAACCCCGGATGATAATTTTGGGGATCGATAACCAGGCTACCATCGCGATCGCCCAGCCCTCAACTACGGCTTCTTGGAGGACGAGGCATTTGCGGGTTAGGGCGGCTTACATCCACGAGCAGGTGGAGTCGAGTCAGGTTCAGATCCGTTATGTTCCTGGGAAGCAGCAGTGGGCGGACCTCCTCACGAAAAGTTTCCCACGGCAACGCTTGGTCGAGTTGACTGCACTATGGGGTTTTGTGGATCGTGTTCATGAAGCTTCGAAAAAGGCAGTGGTGAAGGCTATGTTGATGTGTATGGTGGTCCAGACTACACGTGCTCAGGAGCAACCGGAGCCCCTCGCGATCAACACCTCCCTCGAGCTCTACGTGATGATCTTGGTGATGGGCATAGCCGTTGTTGGGCTTTGGGAGTGCATATGGCTGTGTGTCGATAGGTGCTGTACGAGGCCCGAAGAAACCAGGACTGCGCGGAGAATGAGAAGACTACGAGAGGCTGTTCAGCGGGAGCTCGAGACCCAGATCCACGAAGCAGCCGCTTCGCCTACCGGAAATGACCATGGACCTCCGACTACCCCACCAAGGCCAAGGCGGGCATCTACTTCTATGTCATCATCGTCAGCCCCTCCTTCGGTGTTGAGTTCTCCTATGCCTAGGCGACCGTGCCTTGCTAATGCTGCTACACAGACGGAGATTGATCAGGACTATGTGCCGATCGTCGAGTACCTCGATCGTGATGTACCGGTACCAGTCCCTGTTCGCGAGTGGCATCCCGGACCACTCTATGTCACCCCCCACGGCGACACCTTTCATACCCATGAGCGATGCTGGGGATTGAGGAATGCAAGATCGCGACCTCTGCGATTCTGTCAGTGTTGCCGTGATAATGGTGGGCACTCCCTACGTGAACGTCACGGATGAGCTGGGCAGACTGCGGAATGGAGTGTGTGATCTCCCTTCACCAGGTAGCTCAAGGAGGAGTGATGAAAGCCTTGAGTCTGCCAGCCTCTTGAAATTATGTGCATCAACCAGACCTTGATGGTCCAAGCTTTGCGAAGTGCTAGAAGACTGTAGCCAGTGTCAAGCACGGCAGGTCCTAGTATACAAAGCATTGCCATGATCGGCAGAAGCCAGCAATGTTCGTGCGCTTCGTGTAAAACAATTCGCATTACCAATTCGTTTGCTTCCGCCATGTCGTATTCACATGCTGTTTCTGGTGCGTCAGAGAGTGCCTTGCTTCAGCACTTACGGTTTAGGGTTTCGTCTCAGGTTTAGGGGCAACCTGCCTTTTTTGTACGGTTCCATATAAAGTCTATTTGAGGTCTGTGGGGCTGAAGCGTTTATGATTTAGGGTTTTAGGCTTACGGCATCTGGGTTTGGGGGTTTAGGTTTAGGGTTGCGTCTGCAGGCTTTTAGGGTTTTGGGACCTAGGGCTCAGGGTTCTAGGCTTGAGGGCTTCGTCTAGGGCTCCGGGTTTTAGGCTTAAGGCTTTAGGGTGTAAGGTTTAGGGCTCAAGGCGTAGTGTTTCAGGTTTCAGCGTTTCCTATGGGAGTTAGCCCAGCGCTTAAGATGAGAGAACCAGTACTAGAAGGGGCCACTCTAGCAATCCCCAAACCCCAACCCCAAAAAGGCTACTTAAAGGGTCAGGGGACTTAGTAACTAGGGTTCTATACTTATATTTACTTATAACCCCAATTAAGGTACTTATAACCCTACTTACTAAGTCCCATGATCCCCCAAGTAGACCCTAAACCCTAAACCCTTATAGTACCCCTATAGATCCCGTAAAAGGACCCTTAACCCCCTACTTACTAAGTCCCCCTATTTATAACCCCCAAAAGGCTACCAATGTTTACGACGAGGTTGTCTCGGAGGCCGGGATCCGAGCTGGCGCTGCGGCCGGCAGCGGGCGAGACCTCCGGCGTGCTTACGGTTTAGGCTTTGTGGCGAAGGATCATGGGACTTAGTAAGTAGGGTTCCTTAAGGGGTTCCTTAAAGGGTTCTATAAGGGATCTATAGGGGTTTAGGGTTTAGGGTCTACTTAAGGATCATGGGACTTATTCAATATCGTTGTAAGATCAGTACCTTAATTGGGGCTATAAGTAGTTATAAGTACAGTTACCTTCATTTTAACCCTCGTTACTGAGTCCCATGACCCTTTAAGTAGGGTTTGGGCTCTAGGGTTTAGTGTCGTGGTTTAAGGGGCATCGATGTTATTGTCCAGGGGTGCTTTGTCTCTCTGAGGTGTTGGGGCATACGGTCTAGGGGCATGGTGCGTGGGTTCCAGGTTCTGTTGGTTCAGGGTTTTGAGGCTTAAGGCCGTCATGCTTCGGGCTTTGGGCCTTGAGTTTGGAATCAGGCTGCAACTGCAACGCGAAGACAAAGAATAGCAAGCCGCAGCAGCAGCAGCAGCAGCAGCAGCCACAGCGTGACCACAACACTGCAACAACAATAACAGGTACCCTTCTTCCTAGTAGTTGGCTAAAATGAAGGAATCCAAACAAAAAGGGCAAAAGGGTACTACATAGCGCAGCCCGAACCCTATTCTAGTCATTAAGGGCTCCTGTATCACGGAACCCCTGTAGTCGGGTCTGTTGCTTAGGGATTCGGGTTCAAAGTTTTTCGCTCATGTACAAATGTACAGCGAGACCCTTGCTGTGACTTGCCGTGGCACCGCTTCTCCCAACATCTGGTGCAGCTGCGCTTGGGCTGCGGGGCGCCTGGGCATCCGCTTCAACAAAACAACCAAAGCCCATACCCTCAACACCAAACCCTGAAACCCCATGTACCCTATACACCCTACAAACCCCACACCCTCTGAACCCTCAACCCTATAAGTTATAAGCCCTAAACCCTGAAAGAAAGGTCGAAGCCTCATCACCCAAAACCCCCAACACTGAGGATCCGCAACCCTGAACCCCAGACCTTTACCCCGAAAAGTTATCGAACCTGAAAGGTGTCGATTGAGGATTAAGGGTTTCTGGGTTTATATAGGGCTTTGGGATTTTGGGTTGGCGGCTTCCGGTTGCTCGCGAAGGCTTTCGGAAAGAGCCGAAAGTTGTTATTCACAGACCTACATGAGGCTACCAAGAACTTTCAAGAAGGCCGGGATCCTCAACCGTTCGGAAAAGATAATCCCTTCTCCCTTTTTTTGAACACCCCCCTAATAATGTAAACACATTGGGGCGAATCCTACCGAAATCATCCCTGCCCGTTAAAACCTATTCCGAACTCGAGGAAGGGTTTCGAGGCTCCAAGTACCCTTAGAGCACAGTAAGAGCACGAGCAAGAGCAAGAGCATGAGTCAGAGCAAGAGCAGGAGCAAGAGCAGAAGCGGGAGCATCAGCAAGAGCAGCATCAAGAGCAAACCAAAAAACCAGGAGAGGGAGTAACAGCAGGAGCAGGAGCAAAAGCGGGAGCAACAGCAACAGCAGGAGCAGGCGCAAGAGACGCAGCAGGAGCAGGAGCAAAAGCCAGCGCAGGAGCAAGAGCCAGAGCAGGAGCAAGAGCGCGACCCCTCAAAAGTGGCAGCAGAGATGAGACTGCCCCCCTAACACCAAGAACACTTTCCGCAGTTTTATTGCCGGCGGGGGCCCCACGTTTAATGTTACGGGTGGGAAGGGACTATGGGTTCCACTGGAAGTGCGAAACACGGCAATTGCTTAAACTGCCATCAAACACTTCAGCTGAAGGGGAAGATCGTAATGTCTCAGCCGAGCCGATTCAAGAAGTACGAGGCACTTGTGATCTAAGTGGGCCTTAGTGGCAACCCCGAGCTTTCGAGCAAATCGTGACCCGTCGCTTCGTGATTGAACCCTCGGCTCTGAACCCTAAAGCAGCTGCAGCCCCTTTTTTATGAGTCCCCAGGCACCACGCAGCGGCGCGCAGTCGTTGCAGAAGATCTTGCCTGGACGACTTGGAAACGGCTTCTACTTAAAGGGTCATGGGACTTAGTAACTGGGCTTATAATTAAGGTAGCTCTACTTATAATTACTTACAACCCCAGTTAGGGTACTTATAACCTTACTTACTAAGTCCCATGATCCTCCAAGTATGTTACCTCCTTTCTTCAGCTCCCAATACTGCAGACATGTTGAAGGGTGATCATGACGTTTTGGATCTTGTAAAGCCAGCATATCCCAGTTCCCATACTCTAGGAGCGTCTTAAAACATCAGGGTTGAGCTTTCTGAGTGAAAGAGCTCGGGCGTGTTGGTGCTTCGCTTTTGGGCTCATGTGCGGTGTGGGGTTTGGGGATGTGGGGCTGTAGGAATTTAGGGTTTAGGTCAGGAGTAGGTCTTAGCCTAAACCCCAAAACCCTAACCTTGCAGCCAACTCCTCTGCACGAAACCCTCCGGGGTTTAAGGGAAGCCGAAAGCCTCTGAACCCTAAACTTCTAAACCCTGAGCCCTAAACCCCAAAACCCGAAACCCCTAAACCCTGAACCCAAAACCCCTAAACCCCAACTAAGCCCTAGACCCCAAACCCTGGAGTTCCGGGTTCCGTTGTCACCCAGGGTGCCGCAGCTGCGACAGTGATGCCGCCGTCGGAAGAGCGTAAAGGGCCGGCCGCAGGTCCTTGACGCTTTGTAACAAGGGGTCTTGGGTTTCGGGGTCTAGGGTTTCGGGTGATGCTTTCCTTGGAAGGTTTAGGGTTTAGTTTGGGGCTTAGGCTTTAGGGTGGAGGGTCTCGGGCTGGCTCCAGGATCTCAACCGTTATCCATAGAGCTTCCTATAGGAACTCATTCACCCATATCTCCTATACCATGACATGTCCTATGTTATGCGAGAAGCCCTTCCGTGAAGCAGGATCTTTACTATTGCAAATGTCCTCACAAAAACATCCCAAATATACACGCCCAAACTATACACGCCCGGACATTCAAGAGCAGCCGCACGGGATCTGGCAAGGTCTTGGCAAGACGCGGCTTAAGGATCCTTTTGTAGCGCCTTAACCGTTCCTTTACAAGGCCCTTTCCGGGATTCCTATACGGGCTCCTATACGGGTACAGTAGTATAAGTTAGAAGCTGCCCCCACCCTGTAATGGGGACTACAAGGACCTATAGGGATTGGTTAGGGTTATATTAGGGCCCTACTATATTCCTATTATACCACTATTACAGGATGGGGGCAGCTTCTAAAATATAAGGCTTCCTTTAGGCGCTCGCTTCATGCTTTTCTCTATAGATCTTCTCCCTGCCTCATGCAATCCTGCCCCCCTTGGGTTAAGGGTTGAGTGCGTTGTGCGAACTCGGGGATCCCAAAACCTGAAATCCAAACCGCGAACCCTGAACCCGAATCCCTAAACCCTAAACCCTAAACCCTAAACCCTAAACCCTAAACCCTAAACCCCTAAACCCCTAAACCCTAAACCCTAAACACCAATCTGAACCCTCAACCCTGAACCCGGGCACCCTGAAGCCTCCAGCCTAAAACTTACCTTTGGTTAGTAGGGAATGAAGGAATGATAGTAATATATAGTATAATAGTACCCATTCCTTCATTCCCTACTAACCAAAGGTAAGAAAATTTTTTGGCCTAAAACCTTGAGCATCCTTGAACCATGAAACCTCCTGAACCCTGAACCCTTTGAACCCCCGATCCTGAACCCTCATGAAACCCCAAAAAGTTACTGCTCATACAAGCCGGATAAAACCTTCAATGGCAAACAAAATTACTAAACCCTGAACCCTGAAGCGCAAAAGCGTGAAATTACTCCAAACAAGGATCCACAGAGACATGTGGCTTCCTTGACTTAGGGTTTACACTGCTAAGAATACCTACAGAAGTTATTGAACCTTAATACTATACTGCACTTGGGACCTTACCAAAAGTTATCATGTTCGCTTTTCTCAAGTAATATAGTAACATAAAATCAAAAAACTAAGTACCCCTAAGAATATAAACTGAACTACGGCATGCT